TTTTTTGTAACGAAAGTACGTGGGCATCCAATCGGAAGATCAATCCTTCTTCCAAGGTTTATCAAAAGAAACCCATTTATTTTATCTCTGGACTGTGACGCGAGAACTGGACTTCCTTATGACGACTGGCTTTGTTTCTTCCGCTGTTTAGCTATTCATCGCGGTGCTCAGCCGACAAATCTGGAAACGCATACAAACCACTATTATGAACAGTAAGCGTTAATTTAAATTTGGAATGTTCAATCAATTATCTATTTATCTAGTTCTTAAACTTCCTTCTTTACTTATCAAACTTTTATTATATAGTTTTTTAACATTATTGTCTCATTAATTAATTTGTTTTTTTTTTTTTATTTTTTATCCTGATTTTTAGATATCTTAATCAAATGGGTGTTCAAGCTTCGCATTTTAAAGGCGTTTCTCTGGAGGAGATGGGTGATCTCGAGCAACTGTTTTCAACTAATATAGTCATTTACAGTTTAAACCACGAGGAACATGACGAAGATGACACCGACAATCGTTTACCCCCTGAAGTTGTCGCAACTTTGGTCCGTCGCTCGCACCGACATAATCCGGATACCCTGTATCTGAATCTATATGAAAACCACTTCTCCTATATTAAGAATCTATCCAAGTATTGTAAATCGTTCAAGTGTTCAAAGTGTGGAAAGATGGGGAAACACGCTGGCACGCTGCATCGCCACGAACTGACCTGTGAGGCCAAAACACGGCTGAATTTCCCTGGCAATGCTTACGTTGTCCCGCCAACAATTTTTGATCAGCTTTCCGATGAAGGAATCAACATCCCTGAGCATCTACGATACTTCCAACATTTCGCTACATTTGACTTTGAAAGTATGTTTTCAAAGAACARTCTACCCGAGAATACCACCAAATTACAGTGGGAGAACATTCACGTACCGCTAAGCGTCAGCGTCTGTTCGAACGTGCCTGGGTTCAAAGATGCCAAGTGTTTCATTACTAATGGMAATTCACATGAATTGATCAAAGAATTTATYTGTTATCTTGTGGAGATTAGTCAAGAGAATTACCGTTTGCTGTTGGGGGATTTTGAAGATATTTTTGCCGAAATCGACCACAAAATCGACGAGCATGCGCACAACGTTCCAGCTCCTTCAACCGGACCAAGCGATGATGATTTAGCTGAGTTGTTGGTTGAACTCCAAGAAGAGAGCGAACATGAAGATGATCGTGGAATTAACGTTCTTGAGAGCGACGACGAGGATGATGATGAGTTWATCCAGCCTGAGAATGATTATGACAGAGCTTTCATTGACGACTCAGTGGATAGTCAAGGAGCTGACTTTTACCGAGCGATGGATCGAGAATTGGATGAGCGCCCAGCTGAGAGACAAGCAGGAGAATCAACAACGGGTGACGACAGTCAAGAGAAGAAAAGGCCACATCCTCTGGTTAAACTTAAGGTATTGAATTATAGATATTTTGTTTTCGCTCGTTACGGGCTCCCTGTGTTCCTTTCACTTCCGGTAGTTAATTATTCATTTTTGTTTTTTTTCACTTCCGGTGGCTAATTTATTCATTTTTCTTTACTTCTATTTAAGGAAAAATTAGAGGGTTATCTTAAAGAGCTTCCGGTCCTGGGATTTAATTCAGGGAAATACGATCTGAACGCCACTAAACAGTTCCTCCTTCCCTATCTGGTGCANGCTTGGGAAGCTTTCAACCGCCGAATTCCGATCAGACATCGACTGAACAACACAGAAAAGCGGATTGGTGACAGGAGGCTCCCCGTTGATGGTTTCCATGGCGACAGCGGCACAGTTTTTCAATTTCAAGGTAATATTGAATTTCGGGCTTCCTGTGTAGGTTTTCCTTATTTTCAATTTTTWAAATATATAATTTTATTTTAACAGGCTGCCTGTGGCATTCTTGCGATGTATGTTATCCTAACCAAGCAGAATTACACCCAGTTAAGAAGARACCGATGAGTGAGATAAGAGCCGAAACATTAGCAAACAATAGATACATCGTGGAGCAAGGTTACACTCTGGTTGAGATAAAGGAATGCGAATGGTTGCAACTTAAAAGATCCAACCCCATASTSCGTGCTTTCCTGAGAAACCRCTTTAAAAGRYCACTCGACAATGTCTTCAATATGACTATGAATCAAGTAATCCAAGGCGTTCTCGACGAGAAGTTGTTCGGAGTTGTAGAATGTGACATCAAAGTCCCCGACCACCTCAAGCCTCACTTCAGTGAAATGTGTCCCATTTTCAAGAACATAGAGATAAGCCGTGACGATATTGGGGAATTTATGCGAGAGTTTGCTGAGGAAGAAGATATCATGCCACGCCCACGAAGAAGTTTGATTGGCAGTTACTTCGGCAAGAAAATCCTCCTGGCCACGCCTCTCCTCAAGTGGTATTTGGAGCACGGTCTTGTGGTTTCCCACATCTATCAGGTGGTWGAGTATACGCCCAAGGCCTGCTTCAAACCATTTGGGGAAGCTGTTTCAGATGCGCGAMGAGCYGGTGATGTCGATCCCGCTAAAGCTATCATCGCTGACACTATGAAACTTGTAAGTGAATACTATTAAATATATATCCCTGTACTCTTGCAAATATCTTTGTGTTCTWCAAAACATTTAGTATTCTATTTATTAATTTCTTATGTTTTTCTTTAATCAAAGGTTGGTAATTCGAGCTATGGTAAAACCATCACTAATCAGCTAAAGCACCGAGATGTGAAGTTTTGCTCTGATTCAAAGGCCTCTCTTATGGTGAACAGTCCCTTTTTTCGCCAATTAGATTCGATTGATGAAGATACCTACGAGGTTCAAATGGGGAAAAAAAGAATCAATTTGAATCTTCCTATTCAAGTTGGGTTCTTCGTGTACCAGTACGCAAAACTGCGAATGCTACAATTCTATTACGACTTCATGGATAAGTACGTGGACCGGAGCGACTTTGAGTATATCCTGATGGACACAGACAGCGCGTACATTGCCATTGCTGGAGAAAGTATCGATTCCCTGGTCAAACCTGAGCTGAGAGATGACTTCGAAGCCAACAAACACGAGTGGTTTCCACGGACAGATACAGCAGAACACCGCGCCTATGACAAGAGAACACCGGGCTTATTTAAAGTAGAATACGAAGGCGATGGTATAATCGGTCTCTGTAGTAAAACGTATTACTGTTTTGGAAAGAAAGATAAATTTAGTTGTAAGGGTATTAATAAGAAATGTAACGAAATTAATAAGGAAAAGTTTTTGAATGTCCTTTTGACGAAACAAAGTGGTTCAGGTGTTAATCGTGGTTTTCGATGTGTCAATCACAAAGTGTTAACTTATAAACAAGTCAGGAATGGGTTTTCGTTTTTCTACCCTAAGAGGAAAGTATTAGAAGACGGGATCTCTACTATCCCTTTAGAAATTTGAATGAAAATAATTGAAGTTATTACTTTTACTAACGTTTTTAATATTG